TTTTCTAAAAATATTTTTTGTTTTGAGTGGCGTGACGAGCAGCATTATCTAGGTTGCTGATATCCGCTGTGTTCCAACAATCATCAGCGAAGGAAGGGCTGCGTTGGTCACGTCTTTTGGGATTTTCAAATACATGGCTGGCTACTCCCTTACACAATTTGTTACTGTTATGCTTTTGTATTATATCTCAAATATCCTTACGGATGGACAGGTCAGATTAGCTTGCCTTTTGTTGTCCGAGTTTATTTTTATTTCATTTTAGTTCATGTATATCGACATGTTTTTGATAACTCTTCTGGCGGTCCTTTTTGGAAATACATCGGCATATAGTAATCTTTGTCCTACTCCCCCACCTACACGATTGCTGTCGGTTGCTAGTATCTGCAGTGTGCTTGGACAGTTAGCTATCATGGGTAGTACTCAGGTGAGACTTGATTTTCAAAATATACCATAGCTTCATTTTCCTTTCTTCCCGTAACACATTTTTTCTTTCACCGTAGTAGTTTTGACCGCTACCTTTGAACAGTTACTTTAGCTTCTTGTATTCCTGATGACTACATCTCAGCCCTGGTTCATTCCTTATAGTGTTCCTCGTGGTTCAGATACTGAAGACAAAAGAAGTATGCAGGTAAGTTTACTCACCATGATGTCTTGAAGAAAATTCTTTTAGCAAGTCTATTCTAGGGAACGGCAGTATTTTACGTGTCCGTGTTTCAATACATCACTCTTGTCGTCGTTTATTCAAAAGGACCGCCATACCGCGACACACTTTACAGTAATAGACCGTTCTGCGCTTCTATCGCCTTCGTCACACTGGTAAAAAACACTTATAAAATCATCACTTGGTGTTCATTTGAGAGCGCTCGTCATAATGTTGCCGGCTGATTTCCTTTCAATTTTTGGATTCAAAATGATGATCTCTTTCTTCTCGCACATTCGCTTATTTTTTTATTCGAGGCATAATTTTAGCTATCATTGGTGATCATATTGTGGGCTCCTCCTTGGTTGCGGGATTTTATGGGCAACATGGACCTTCCATCATTCGAGTATCGCAGCCTTCTAGTACTTATTGCTAGCATAAACGCAATTATTTCCTTCCTGTTTGAGAAAGTATTCGTCGAACAGTTTCTGCTTGTTTATATGGAAAGGTGAGTTTTTGTTTCAATCTTAAGAAATCTCAAAGTTTTACAGTAGGAGAGTAAAGCGAGAGCTTTGATTTGAGAAAGCTGTTAGGCAAAATAATTCTCAAAATTCTATAAGTAAGAAAGCTACTAGCTCTTAAGTGGTTTTGGTTAATTTCCCAGTTCATGAACACAACTGATGATTTTGTTTGCTGCCAATCTTTCCATCTTTGATTTGCCGCATTTCTGGAATTCGAGTCGAAAAAGTTGGTCGTTTTTAGAATTTCCCATCATCATCATCTGAAACCTTGGCATTGTATGGTCTAATTTTGATGTTTTTTATGC